GCTAAGATCAGACCCCAGCCCCCTAAGTAATAAGCAATTCTTTACACTTTATTATTTGTTCTTTGTTCTATTATTCTATTATTCTTTCATCCTCTGCTCTACCTCAATAAGGCAATCGGGCATCCCCCAATAATTGGTCAGGCATTCACCCGGCATCATGGTGATAATTAAATGTCAGCAATTAAGTCTTTTATACTAATAGTAGTCATAGTAGAGCTGAGCTTGGCTTCATTTTGTAGGGGGGTGTTAAGAAGCTTTAAGGAAATCTGAGCAAGTAAGCTGATATTTTTCTCCCAAATTTTAGTCCATTCACTCAGGAAACGCATGAAGTTATCTGCTTATTCAAAGAAACTTTAGAACTGGAAGAACAGAAGTAAATTTTAAAATTAAATTTACTCAAATCATCCTGGGAATTTAATTTCACTAGTCTTTGGAGAGCAGAAGTGGATGTACTGACATCTTAATAGACTCTACAGGAGGACACAATCCTTTAGCATGTATATTAAAGAGAGACAAGAAGAGAGGGGAGAGACATTGAAATCAAATGCGGGATTTACATATTTTTCATCTCTGATTAAGACTCCTTTACTCAGGTCAGCACAAAGGTTCTTTACACTGGATAAAGCAGTAACTCTTCCTTGCTTCCGTGGATTGGCCTTTTGTTAATATTCTGTAGTATACATAATAACAAAATATTAATTGAAAACAATAGGTAGCTTAGTCTCTCATTGAGAAGAACCAAGTTCCTTAAATTCTTTGATAATCCACACACAGCAGCCATATGAGTTAAGGCCTATTCTTACTCCCTGTTAGAGAAGTTGAGATTCAGAGGTGGTAAATAATTTCCTTGAGATTTCAAATCTTTAATTTCTGAGCCCATGATCTTAGGCACAGTGTACTCCTCCCTCTCATAGGTATCCCATTCATTTATGGGGAGTCCTTTGTGTTTCTCAAGTACTCCATTGGCGTACATTACATTTCATTCATATTCTGCGTAGCTTTTCCTCTTCACAATGACATCTGATGGGGTAAGACCAAGAAGTGTGGGATAAGGCCCAACTCTGCAGCACCGTCGTGCTGCTGTGGACTTCAGTGATATGCTGAGCCTAGCATAGCAGAAAATAAAAAGACATCTTCCTCTTTATTCCCATGTTTCAGGGTCCTACCCATCAATCTATATCACCTTGTTTAGGAGCCCAGAGATGAGTTTGCAAGAAAAATTTGGAAAAAACTATAGAGGGCAGGGGCTTTTTCCTTATTCCTAGTATCCCTGGCCAATGAAAAATTTTAATGTGAGAGAGTGTCTGAGAATAAAAATCAAATTAATGGTGTGGCTATAACGCCTTTGAATATGGCATGACTATTTAACACATATTTCAGGCCTGACTAACAACCACTGCAATTACATAAGCAGGCTGGGCATTTAGCTCAGTGGCTCCACCGCCTGCCTCGCAAGTACAAGGTCCCGAGTTTGATCCCTGGTACCAAAAAAATTTTTTTTAAATAAATCTTTTAAAAAACAATTACATAAGCAATTTTTTTAAATCTTAAAAATAGAGTCTCAGAGAAAGCCTAATCCAAAAAGAGTAGTCAATGTATGCATAAGGAGAGAAGCATGCTTTCAAAATAATTGTTTGCCTCTTTTTCAAACCAAGTATGTTAAATTTGATGAATAGAAAAGCCAAAAAAAAGTGATTAACAGCATTGTACCAGCAAAAAAATTACAAGTATGTATTAAAAGAGAGTGATGTGGTTCAATTATTTAAAAAAAAAAAACTTCTGGCTCCCCAACTTTCATTCAGCAGGAAGCAGTCTAAGGAAGCTATTCAGTTTCTAACACATCCTTTATTTTCCCTGTTTCAGGGAAGACACGTTGAGCCAAAAAGAGAGCACAAGCTATTGAAATGCTACAGGCTACTGACAGAGCAACAGACCTAGGAACTGCTTTTGCTAAGCAAAAGGTACAGTGGGAGGGGGAGAGCTTTCAAGGAGAAGTAATGGGCTTGTTTATAAAAATTCTTTCTCCAAACTAGGCAGAACTACCAACATTTCTCCCTGTAAGATTTCAGAATTGCTATGGAGCAGTGACAGCTGTATGTCTCTCTTGCTCTTCCATCTTTGAAATGGATGTCTCTCCTGAAGTCATCCAACCTCCGCATCACCGTGGCATGTTGATGTTGAGTGGAAGGTAATGTTTCCTTTTGCGTCTTGAGATTGTGGGAAAAGGGAGTCACATCTGAGCCATAACCAGACATACAGCAAATCACAAAACCATAGACTCTAATCTTAACCTTATATAATTAGACGAGAATTTTTGCATCCTGGGTAAAGATAAGTGGGAAGGATATGAATATTTAAGACAGAATTTTTAAAAGAGTTTTCATTGAGTTTATTGGGACTTTTTAGGTATACAGTACAGTTGCATTCATCATTGGGATCTTGTACCTTTATATGATGTATCTTGGCTATTATTTTTTCCCCATTCCACTGCCCTCCCTTCACCCGCTCCACCCTTCCCTATTTACAAAGACTTTGTTTCCATTTTTTCCTTTTCTCATATTTTTTCTTTTCCCTTATTTCCTTTCCCCTACCCTTCCCACTTCCCCACTCCTCTAGCTCTTTTCTTCCTTTTTCACATTATCAATTATACAATTTGAACCTTATTAACGTGTTTGGCATTTCACACCACAGAAACTATTCAGTATTTATACATGTGTGTCCTATTAATTTCACTTAAGAGTATGGCCTCACTATGCATGCATTTAGCTCTAAATGACGTAGTTTCTCATTCTTTATGGCTGAGTAGTGCTCCATTTTATAGAAAAACCACACCTTTATCCAGTCTCCAGTTGATGGTCAATTGGGCTGTTTCCAAGTTTTAGCTATTATGAACTGTGCCACTATAAGCATGGGTGTGCATATATTGCTGTGGTATGATTCCTTTAATTCTTTTGGAAAGATACCCAGCAGAAGGATAGTTGGGTCAAATAAAATAATAATCACAATTTTTTTTTCTTATTGTCCCACTCTCAAATCTACAATGCATCTTTCCAGATCCATGATAAAAGCTATTTCTTAAATCTGGCTTGGTATTGTAACATGTTAATAACATGTATTAAACAAAAGTCTAAGGAATATTTGCTCTTGAGGATCACTCTCTTTTGCTCCTTTTGGGTACATGCAACTATTAGCATGAATAGAAGCCCAGGTTGTCATTCTAACATACAGTTGTCATGTATGTGAGGCCTGTCTTACCATAGCTGCTATCTTATCTAAGAATTTACCTTATCTTTGAAAGGTAGGATGGAGTACACATCATTTATTATTGAACACCTTCCACTTACCTGCAACTTCTTCACGGTAATCAGCAGTTCTATCCTGTTCTTCTCAGGTCATGACTCAGACTCAGATAGGCACTCCCTGAAGGAAAGGCAGTCACAAAATAGACCAGGACACAACAGCATACCTAAATACCACACTTTCGCAAAGAAAAAAAACACATCCCTCATCAACTTTATCTTTATGTATAAAGGTGATGCTTTGACCCCTCTGTGCATTAGTCTTTTGTCTTATTATGGCATTGGATTAGAACCTGTAAGGAGAAGCCTGATATTACCAACTTGGCTTCTCATGGATTGTAACAATGAAGATGAGGCTGTAATTCCCTCTTCTACACATGCCTTTAAGACATTTGCATGAATCCCTGAAAGGTCACAGAAAGACATTTGATGATTTATACATTTGACACTTGTATATATCTGACTAAGCAATAATATTCATTACTGTTCAATGGCCTAAGTCAAAACAAGATTTATTCTATTCAAACAACAGAACTTTCAGCTGACCATAGGAATCATCAAAAAGCAAATCTGGAATTCTGATTCTGAAAAGGCAAGACTAAACACCAGTATCTCTTATGTGACCATTCTGAGGGATTATTAAATTGTTCATTTTTTTCTATCCAGTATAGTATTCCTGTTTGACAACGTTACTGTCCTTCTCAGTGGTTACAGTGATTAAATTAGACAATCACTTCTACACTGCTGGAAGTACACAGTGAAGGTATCTGGAGTTAAAATTTTGAGATAACAAGAAAAAAATAAGAAAGACAGGTAAACAAAGAGATATAATCCACTGATGGCTGTGTGGTATTATACTTGGATGGAAGACAGATATGTGAGATATAGTTGATATAACTGGATGGAAGCCCATGTATCAGTTAGAGATAGTTACTTGTCTGGGTTCCTGCTGATCCTCAGCACCCATAACAATGGCTAACAGGATAACAAACAAACTGAAGGAGAAATGAAAAGGAAGACATTGCTCATGATTTGTGCTAGAATCTGATCTTACCTAGATTAGCAGTCCCCTCTCTGTGTCCTTAGAACAGAGATCTAATTGCATAGTTTTCCATGTCTGTAGCAGATGTTTAACAAAATGACGAATGCAGCAACACACATCAGAAATATTCAATGATGTAATAGTTATCACTGTGTTGCCATTTATTAGACTTCTTAGAAATTAGTTATATTCAGGGAAGTAAACAAGAACAGATTGGGAATACTTCCCCAAAACTTATCTTTCGGGGCACACCTCAAGGAACCCCAAGCTAGAGATCCACTGATTTACATACAGGCAATTCTCAGGTAATTGCAGGGGTTTTGAGTGCTCAGCACCTTTGTCTGGCTGCCTCTTATGTTCCTGGCCCTCCAGGCTGGCTGGCTATGCTGATAGTGCAAGTCAAGGGGTTGTTAGACTGACCACATGCCCTCTGCTTTTGTTTCTTTGCTTTTGTTTTGCTTTGGGATAGAGATAGGAAAGTTGACTGGGGCCCCAGAGATCCATGAAAAGAAAAAAAGGCAGCAAAGAAGGGAGGGGAGAGAAATTTGCAGTGATTTCTCCTGTGAAGGTCCTGAGAGAGTTTGAATCTGGCAGAAGCGAACTGGCAACATGGGTCAAGAATTAACCCACAGGAATGCCAGGATAACTTCTCCTGAGACATGTCTCTAAATTACATCAAAAACTTCTATGAAGGATGTGTAAGTACCGTGCAAAACAGCAATTGTATGAGTTTTGGCCATGTCTTTTAACCTCACTTGAGTGAGTGTTGATGAATAAGTTCCTCTACATTTATTAAGAACAATGTAAATAACAACCACGTATTTCAAAAATATTTTTAATTTAAAACTATAAATAGAAAATTTCAGGAAGTATTTTCAGTTGTTCATGTTTTACAGTAGCTCATTCAATTACCTAATTAAGCAGTAGGGAAAAAAAGTCACAGTGACAAATAAACATCATTTGGTTGTTAAGAACATGCAAACTAAGTTTAATATTGGATTTGTCATTTAATTTACCAAAAGAGGTACTGCATTTAGTAATATTCTCATGGTTTTATTTTAAAAGGTTACAGAGGAAAAGGATATTAATTGGATTTAAAGCTGTTTAAATATATATTTGATTAGTACTATGTCCCTATTTGACTATTTCATTTCCTCCTTTAAGAGGGAAAACGTGTAAGAAGTCTTACACTGCAGGGTTTGTATTTGATTTGATGATGCCTCATGGTCTATCTTGCTTTAAAACTTTTGAATCTTTACTTTCTTAAATGTGATCAGGAGACTATCCTTTAAGGTGTCCCCTCTTAATGCTGATTTTCAACTGCTTTTTTTTTCCTTCCTCCTAAAATCTTAACAATGTGAAATAGGAAGAAAAGGACCAAAGGTGTAGGGACAGTGAGAAGGATAGGGAAAGGGGAATAAGGGAAAAGGAAAAAAATATGATAAAATGTAAAAATGGAATTAAAGTGTTTGAAGGTGGGGAGGGGAGAAGGGGGTGAAGGGAGGGTGGGGACAAGGGGAAAAAATGAGAACCGAGACCTGTCATGTAAAGGTACAAGATCCCAGTAATGAATGTAACTGTACTGTCTACCTAGAATGTACCAATAAATTCAATCTAAAATTTAAAAAAATTAAAATAAAATAAAATAAAATCTTAACAGCTTAAACCACCAACCGTGATTGGTCAGTTCCACACCCTTTTCTTTGGATCTGTCCGGATGTTCTTTCTTGGGGCGTTAGGCTTTGCAGTTTATGGGAATGATGCTTTGCATTTTAGCTGTGGTCCAGACAAAAGAGAGGTCAACCTCTTCTGTTACAATCAGTTCAGGCCAATCACACCACAGGTAAATTTTTCTGTTTCTCTATAAATAGTGACTCTACAATGTATACATTTTTTTCCTCTTTAATGTAAAATAATGTCAGAAAGAGATGTATTTTAACAGGCATGGTTTTGAGAATTATATTACTTTTTCTTTAATTGGTTGTATATTTCAGAAAAATTAATTGGAGTTGGTCATGACTTTCTTCCAAATCCAGAATTCTATGACCTATCAAAATTACAATTATATTTAGACTTGTATTTTAAAATAAAGACATTAGGAAGCTACAAAAGTTAAGTGATTCCTCATTATCAGTAATTGATAGGCAGTGATGGTAAAATATGACCATATTTTCTTTTTTAATTTTCCACGATCATATTTTCACAATAACTATGTTTACATTTTGAATATATCAGTGAGGTATGTTAAACAGTACTATGCCCTTTATTGTTTATAAGACCTTTATGAAAGGTGGAGTTCTTGTTAGCTTTTGTTGAGAGTCCATTTTTAGTGTATTTTTGGTGGTATGTTAACTAATTTTGACTAAGACATTTCTGATACACTCTAGGTATTCTGGGCATTGCAGCTAGTGATTGTCCTGGTTCCTGGAGCTATATTCCATAGTTATGCTCCATGTAAAATCATCAATCAAGAATGCATTATTCAAAAGCCCATCTACACTGTGATTTACATCCTCTCCGTATTGCTAAGAATTAGTCTAGAAAAGATAGCATTTTGGTTTCAGATTCACCTCTTTGGTTTCCAAGTAAAACCTCTTTATTGTGTGATGCCAGTTCTCTTGGGGAAAAAATGACTACTATCAGATGCAGGGTTCCAGAACACTTTGAAAAAACCATTTTTCTCATTGCAATGCACACATTCACTGTAATTACAGTGGTATTATGTGTTGGTGGGGTTTTTGACATCATTATTTAGAAGACTATGTTTTCTAGTTAGGCAATGACAAAGGTTGGTAACCTACTGTCATGTCATAGTTATTAGTCATTTTTATTTAGTTTTATATTAGCTGAGTACCTCAATTTTAAACACAAATGTCTTTTCCTTAAACACCAGGGTGTCTGAAATATATGTCTACTATAAAATAAAATATAAGTGCTAAGATAGGAATTTTCAGACAAACATTTCATTCTATTTTAAATTTTATGAATTATTTTATTTTAAAGTATATGCAGAGCTAATGTTAATGTACTTTTAAATAGAACTTTTACAGACTTCACTTATGTACAACATCTAAACTGATCACAGCATTTTTTTGGACAGAGAAACTTTTATTTTCTCTTACAGAGGGGAAAATATTGTTCAGGGATGCTCATTTACATGCTCAACTAGAATCTAACTCTTCCTTTTCCATTGAACCATGTAGTTTTATCTTTGAGGATATAATTATTTTTTCATTACTGGAAAATATAACTGCTTCAAGCACAAAAATTACAAATTAATTATTAAAGAATAGACTTATAGTTTGACCACTAACCTGAAAAGTTAGAACAATTACATTTAATATTATACTGTTTCTTGAAATTTTTAATATTAAATGATACAGAAATACAGTCACCTTAATAAATTTAAAATATTACAGATATTATTGGGCATGGTTTCCTTGTTTCTTATTGTACTCATAGATATCCAGAAACAATAACTATGATACTCAAGATTATTGAAATGGAAAATTATGTTTATATTACATTAACTTCCTTAATAGCTATGAAATTACTTCAAAGGCAATTGTCTATCAATTCAGTGCATTTCTATCTGTCTGCTTTACTAACAATCATCTTCATTTTACTTCCTGTAAAATCGTTATGCGTCACACCTTATACTGGTGAGTTTTTAGGGAAATAGTCATAGCCAAATGCTGACTATAATATAATAAAATTTTTATTAATCATTAACCAGTTTATGTTTGATATCATGACTTTCTGAAGTTGGGATTTCTAAATTAACTGAGCTTTCTCCACATAAAAGCACAAGAAAAACATCCAACTTTCTTTCATTCAACAAATAGCAACTGAGTACCTATTATATAACATGTACTACATTATGAGTTCATATAAAGAGAATTAAAGTTTAGTGCCTGTAATGGATCATATTCAACGGGATGGTCCAGGGGCAGGCCAAAGGTGAGGAGACTGGTGGATAACCCACTCTAAAGGGAAAGAATATTTATTTACTGTTTTATTTAGAAACACTGGCCCTTGGTAGTGAGAAACAGTAACAATATTTAATCTTTTAATTATTATATGTAAGTTATGTGTAGGACTCCTTGATCGCTTGCATCCAACATGGACTGTTTCCACCAGCCGTCCCCCAAAATGAGAGTGCACCTTCAAGGGCTGTGTATTTTTTCTTACATCTTTTCAAGACTGGTAATCATTAATTGCATGTCATACATTGTGTCTTTTATCTTGCTGAATGCTAGGTAGTTGTCTACTCATAACATTCGTATATTTTGTGGTAGAATACTGTTACGTCATTTGGAAACAGATGAGCTTTGTTACATGGCAGAAGGGTAGTATGTACTAATGCACTACTTTCCCTACAAGAAAGAAACCTTTCTGAATGTCATATCAAATTCTCTTTGGTGGCAGAAAATCTTACCCTTCAACTACTCTCAAAAGATTGAGTTCCATCATCCTTATGCTGATTGGATCTCAGCTATACATAAACTGCTGTATCTGCATTAAGTAGGTACACAGTGAGTGCAAGGACAGAAGGGGGAAACAAAGGATATTCGGTTTGCTTTTCAGGATTTTTCCCAAGGAAGGCTATTTTTTTGAATAGCCCACAGCAGACTTTTGTTTAACATCATTGCCCATTCATACACAAACACTTTGATTTATTCTTGTTTGAGTCATACTTTACAGATGGCATTGTCAAAGTATGCTTCTTTTTACAGAGATTTTCCACTCTGGCTGTTGCCGATTGCAGCTATTCTCAGTCTTGTGTCAATATTGCATTTTGTTCATTTTAATCTTTTCAAGTATTCTTTTTATGGAAATATGCTTAAAGATATTACACTAACACTCAGCTGAAAGCCCTTTGCAGATCTTTTAAGCTCTCCTGCTTTGCTGCACAGTATATCATTTGAACTCTGGTTTCCTTTGCCTCTCTGGGCTCACTCGTCAACTGGCAAGATAAAAGGGTAATATTTCTAAATAAAGAAAATAACTCTACTTACTTCTGGTGCTGTTAAGAAAACAGAATTGTCATAGTTTGAAAGTATTTCCCAAAATTCACAGATTGAAAATTGAATCCCCACTGCAACAGTATTGAAAAGTGAAATCTATTAGATAAAGAGATCCTGGGGACCCTGCCTATGTAAACAGATTGATGTTATCCAGGGAGTGGGCTTCTTACCAGGAATTTGGGGGGGTTGTTTGTTTGTTTGGGGTTGTTTTTTTTTTTCTTATTTATTTGGTGCCCTGGATCGAACCTGGGACCCTGCACTTGCAAGGCAGGCGCCAGAACCACTGAGTTAAATCCCTAGTGGGGTTTTTTATAAATTAGTCTGACCTTCACTTTCTCCCTCTCTCTCTCTCTGACTGTTATACCTCCAAAGGTAGGTCACCAACAGAAACAAAACCTTGACATGGGACCCCCTCAACCTGCAGAATTATAATAAATAGATCTCTCTTCTTTATAAATTATGAGTCTATTGTATTTTGTCATAGCAACACAAAATGCACTAAGACAAGTCCATATTATTTTATTCAAAGAGAGGGGCAAGGTGTGAATATGATTGGACACCTTTTTAATTTCTTACTAATCTATTATTTCATTTTATTATATCAGCATTGTTAGCACATAGCTATATTGCTCTGAATAATAAATTTTACATATTAAATTCAGATTCAAATATAAAAACTAAGTTTTCTGACAAAATGCAAATATATTAAAAACTAATAAGAACATTTTTACTTAAGCAGATTCTGAATATTTGAAAAGGTATTTAAAACTGCTGATAAAGAGATCTTGGATCAATTAAATAATATAGACTATATAGAAAAAGAGAAAATCAGAATAGTACAAATTAAAACCTAGGAGGTATGACCACATAGTACAGGGAAAACTGACACCTGAAAATACATCTGTCTTCGTCACTTTCCCACTACTGGGACAAAATACATGACACTTACAATTTAAAGGAGAAGGGATTGATTCTGCCTCACGTTTTCAGTTTCTTCACTATCTCCAAGGCAGAAACAGGATGGGAGAGGAAAATGGCAGGGGAAAAAGTGCTCCACCAATGACAACCATGAAGTAGAGAGCAAAGGGAAGCTCCAGGGAGGTAGATACACCTTTGCAGGTCTCACCCTCAGTGACCACTCCTCTTCAGACTAAGCCCTACTTCTTAACAGCACATTCAGCAATGAATTCGTCATTGGTTTAATCCACTGATAAGTATAGCACGTCGATGATCTAATCACATTCCAAAAGCCCCACCTCTTGAGGGACATTGTAGATCTAAATCATGACATTCCACCTAGCTCCCAAAGGATTCATATCCATTTCTTCATGCAAAATGCATTGAGTCATTCTCTAAATGTTGCTGAAGTTTCAGTAGTTCCAGTATTGATTAAAAGCCCAAGTTCAAAGACTACTCAGATTCAAAGCAAACTCTTAGCCATCAGCCCCTGTGAAAATCGAAATGAAAGCTAAATTCTTCCAAGGTACAGTGTCATAGGGGAAGCATTCCTATTCCAAAAGAGTGGAATGGAGGGAAAGAGAAGAATGAAACCAAAGCAATTTATAACCAGCAGGACCAACATGAAATCCCATAGCTCCATGTTCAGCACCAGAGGTAGATTACAGTGAGTCGTGAGCTCCAAAGTGATTGGGCAGCCATCCCGATGGCCTTGCTAGTTGTGATCTACACAGTGTCTCTCCCGGGCAGGTTACACTCACCGTCTGCCACTTTCCTCCACAGATGTTCCACATTCCTGGTATCTCCTAATTCCAGGGATTTCCACTGTACTTTTGGTTTTACCGTCACAGCTTTGCACACTACCCTCTCAGAGGCCCATTCCCTGGCCTGCCAAGCCTCCCTCTGAAATTTGGGTGAAAGCCTCCCTGACCCTACAAGCCCTGTATTCTGCAGGCCTGTAAAATCAGCACCATGTGGGTGACACTCAGGTCTGCGCTCTGTTTAAGCAGTACCTGGACTTCCTTAAATCCTGGCTACAGAGGCCTCTGGGTACCTGGATGACTGAGCACTGTGAAACAAATCCCAGGGAACCAGTTCTCTAGGTAATTGTTGCAAACATTTTAGAGGCTACAGTGGTGCAAACAGCCTGCTGTAGCATGCATACCATAAATTCCCTGCCACTGACCTAAGTGAATATTCTCTAAGGGAGGGTCCAGGAGATTCTTCTCAATGGAAAGCTTTATAGTTCTGCGCCCTTAAACCCACACACATCTTGCTGATTGTGATGCCTTCAAGCCATTTTTCCTATTATCCTGATCGAAGTGCTTGGCTTCTTTTTGATGCTAATCTCTTCAGAACCCATGCTCTCCAAAGCCCCAACTTTGTAAATACTTCCCTATTTGTAATAAAACTACGATCTCTTCACATCTGCTTTTCGTTCCCAGCTCTCACAGAGTTCACATTATAATGTTCACACTCCCATCAGCATTCTGGTCTTCAGATCTCTGTCCTGAATCTCTCATTTTCCTCTGCTTACTCTGCTTACAGTGTTCTAAGGCTTCTCTAGCTGGCATCTCCAAAACTTTCCAAACTCCTCCTACAAATCACTTTCAAAGGCTTCTAAATGATATAGGAAAGTACAGTCACAGCAATATCTCCACTTTTCTGTTGCTAAAATCTGTCTTGGTCACTTTTTTATTGTAGAGATAATATAGCTGACACCCACAATTGAAAGAAGGAGAGGTATATTTTGCCTCAAGTAACTAAAACAGCTGGCCACAAGGCAGAAACAGGATGGT